GGCATTTCATATACATTATATGAATCTTTACTAAAACTTTTAAAAATAGATTTTATGGACATTACTATCTCTATTTTAAAGATGTCAAAACTAAGATTCAAAGCAGTTAGTAACTTGATCAAACTCATCAGCTAATATATTGCCCAGCTTACAGCTGATACAGTCTTTCTGAATATTCTTTTAGCCATACCACAATGCGTAGTGTGTAGTATTAACACAGAGGAAAACAGTTGGGGCCTAAATGTTTTTTAACTCAAAGGTTAAGTTGCACAGAAAATTTAAGTGACTCTGATGATGATGTTTTACAATATAAGTGAATGGCTGATGTTTTACTTTGTGTGTGTGTGTGTGTGTATGAGAGAGAGAGCAAAAGAGAGAATGTGTAAATATATGAATATATGAAGGTCTGTCCAGAAAGTACCATGTAATGCGAAAAATAGACACATTTATTAAAGAAGATACAAGATACAAGAAACATTGTACATAGGACAATGATGCTTAAGTTCCCTTCAAAGTAGGCACCTTGGGACCTCACACATTTCTCCCAGCTTCTCTTCCACCGTTCAAAACACTCCGCAAAATCCTATGTTGGGATCTCTATCAGCTGCCCTGTCATATTTTCTTAAATCTCATCAATGGTCTGAAATCTCTTCCCTTTCAAAGGTGATTCTAGTTTTGGGGAAAGCCAGAGGTTGCAGGGTGCCAAATCTGGGCTGTAAGTTACCTGGGTGATTGGATGTCTTGCCAAAAAAACTGCATGAGACATGACGCATAAGTGGGCATGTTGTCGTAATGAAGGTGCCAATCACCAGTTGCCCATAGCTGTACCCATTTTCATCATATTGCATCTCTCAACCCACCAAGAATGTTTAGATAGCACTCGTTATTAATTGTTTGGCCTGGAGGAGCATACTCATGATGGATAATAACTTCTCAATCAAAAAGCAGTTAACATGGTCTTGATCTTGATGTGACCTTACTGTGCTATCTTCAGGCATACAGAACCAGGCAACTTCCACTGGAACATCTGGGCCTTCATTTCCAGATCATACCATTGACCCATAATTCGTCTTCAGTTATGGCCTTCTTGAGGAAATCTGGTTCATTGGTAGCGGTTTGAATCACGTCATTAGTAACTGCAGCACAATGTTCCTTGTGTTCTGGTAGTAGAAGCCATGGAACAAATTTTTCCATGAAATGTTTCACACCAAGATTCTACATCAAAATCTCTGACACTAGTGTTTGGAACCCCCAGATCAGCTTCTAGTTCTTGCACTGCCAGTCACTGATCTTTGCTGATTACAGCCCATAGATGTTCAACATTCTCAGGTGTTCTGCTCGTTGCAGGCCTTCCAGAAAGTGGATTACTTTCAACAGATTCTCAACCATCTTTGTTTGTGCTACACTTTTACTTGTGCTGCACTCACTGCATTGTCCCTGAGAGCCTTCTCAATCATCCGAATACTTTCCCAGAGGAATGTTCAAGCTTAATGCAAAATTTGATGCAGACCGTGTTCTGCTTGCTCAGTCATTTTGAATGCAATGGCCACACAGTACACATGCTCACTCAGTGGTGTCTACCACCCCCACTACCTAGTACAGTGAAGTTGTCATTGTTCACACATGTGCATTCCAGTCCACTCTCATTGGCTGCCATGTTACATCCATGTCATGCAGACTGTTCTTGTTATATTAACAATGGCTGGATGTTTGCAGGACAGGCTTATGTATGTGTTAGGTGAAGTGAATAAAGGAGCCTTACCTAACTACACTGACCTTTTTGAATTCTGATGCCTTTGCATGCAATGCTGAAATTGCATTTAATTTCCAAAATTATTGTATTCATTTTCTAGGACTGTTGTAACAAATTACTACAAACTTGATGGCTTAAAACAGTACACATTTATTCTCTCACAGTTCTGCAGTCTAGAAGTCTGAAATCAAGGTGCCAGCTGGTCTGCACTCCCTCTGAAGGTTCTAGGTGGGAAATTCTTTCTTGCCTCTTCCAGCTTCTAAGAAGTCCTGGAGTTCCTTGGCTTATGACAGTGTAACTCCAGTCTCTCCTCCGTCACCACCCAGCCACGGCCTTTTTTCCTGGGTTTCTTTCTTCCCTCCTCCTCTTTTATAAGGACTTGTCATTGAATTGAGGGTTCACCTTAATCCCAGATGGTCTCATCTTGAGATCCTTAATTACATCTGCAAAGACTATTTCCAATGAAGGTCACATTCTCAGGTATCATCAGTTAGGATGTGGACCTATTTGGGGGAGGATACAGTTCAACCCACTATAGTCTCTTTGAGAGCTCTGAAAAATCTTCAAAAGTGGCTGCTCTTTGAGATTCTATTAGGAAGGCAATTCTGTTCTTGAAGGAGAAGTGGCTTGGGTCCTGTGTCCCTTTTCATGGTTGCTGAAGCTTTTAGAAACTTAATACGGATGAGAGTATTAACTCATCTTCTTTGCTTCACCATCTCTCTGTGTTCAATCCAACAGAGGCTTGCTACCCTACAACCCAGACATTTATCTCCTGTAATTACTCAAAAACCATGACTGGGAAATAACTCTAGACACTCAATCTGAACAAGATGAACTTCTGACTTGTATGCCAAGCCTGAGCATGTCTTCTATCCAGATGTCTTTCTTTGCCTTTGGTCAGTAAAACAACCCCTGGGTCTTTGCCACCTTTGAGTCAAAAATTCCGTCATCCAAGTTTCTGATTCACTCCTTTTCTTTATCTACTCGGTGCCCAGCTGTCCTGTGTTGCACCTTTCTGCTAACTTTCTTTTTCTCCACAAACACAAGCATCAACTTTTCTTGCTAATGCTTCTTTGTGATCTTGCCAATAAAGTATCTTAAACATGATGGGGCTGCATTTTTAAGGCATTAGACTTAATAACTAGGTCATTACCACTATTTACTAACTTGGACTCATTAACAGGGCTCTTTGCTTTTCACCTTACTACAGCATAATGAGCTTATTAATTAGAGCAAGAGACATAAGCACTCTTGGTTTTCTTTAAGACCATCTGGGGAGATGGCTAAGTCTTTGGTCATAATTTCTGTTAAATGTTTCTAAGGGGATACATTTAAATCACTGTGGAATGATATTTTCCTTCAACATAAACTTCTTTTTCTCTTTAAATGGGTTATTTTGAGGTCCCTAAAATTCTCAGTTGTAATCCACCTAATGGCTTATTCAGCTAAACAGCAGAGGCAGTGGGGTAGCAATTAAAAGCACAGGCTGGAGCCAGACTGCCTGGGTTTAAATCCTGGCTCTGCTTCTTACTGTGTGACACTGTGAATGTTATTTCATCTCTCTCTGTCTCTCTCTCTCTTTTTTAATAATCTGGGCAACTGTGAAGATTAAATGAATACATACATACATGTGAAATGCTTAGGACAGTAACTGGTACACAGTGAGTGTTGGTACATACGTGAGCAGTTATTTTTATTCATCAAATCCAAAGAAATAGCTTTTAGTATCTACTGTGTAAAAGGCATGGTTTAGTGTGTGCACTTTCTAGGAAGGGGCCACAGGTTGCACTGTGTCTCCCTGACATTCATCTGTTGACATTCTAACCCCCAATACCTCCAGAACATGACCTTATTGGAGATAGGATTTTTTTCCCCACAGGTAATCAAGTTAAAATGAGGTGGTGTGGTTGGTTCCAATCAAGTATGACTGGTGTCCTTATAAAAAGGGGAACTTGGACACACAGATACATATAGAGGAAGGCAAGGTAATGAACATGGGAAGAAGGTAGTCATCTACAAGCCAAGGAGATAGGCCTGGAACAAACCCTCACAGCCCTTGGAAAGAATCAACCCTACTGACTCCTTGATTTTAGACTTTTAGCCTCCAGAACTGAGAAAAGAAAGTGTTGCTATTTAAGCTGCCTAGTGGTCGTACTTTGTTATGGCAACTCTAGGAAACATACAGATGGCCCTAACACAAATCTCTCACCCCAGAGGGAACATATAATCTTCTAGGAGGGATGTATTCCATACGGCAAAGGATGCAAGCAACAGAAATCCACTAAATCTTGCTTAAACAAATAATAAAACAAAAATGAGTTTCTAAGGATACAGAGGCATCTCATAAAATCTGAGGGCAATATTGTAGCTGGCACATAACATAAAGAACACTACCCATCTCTTGCCTCTGCCCGTCTATGGGGACTGTGGCCAATCTCTCTCTTTCTCTCTCTGTTTCCCCTCTTCCTTCTCTCTGCCCTTCACCCTCTCTCCCACCACCCTGTCCTTTTCTGCCTCCCCAGTCCAAATGGTAGAAAACATTGTCCCTAGTTGCACTCAGGTTTGTGTTTTAAAGATACAGCCCCCTGGAAAGAAACATCATGAACTGCTCAGCAGATTCTAATTCTGATACAAGGGTATCTTTTTTTCCACCCTGGGTCAGGGGCCCACACCATCAGCTGTGACCAGGGGAACAGTATTTCAGTGGACAGACATGGCGCTTCTCCTGTAACCCTGTGGATGGAGTGAGGGGAGGGGTCATGACCAAAACAGGAAACAGACAGCAGATAACCTAAGGAGGGCTCCACTGACAATGATAAGTGGTCACAGAGCTGCGGGGCCACACCACAACATAGCACGAAGCTGAAGAAATGTAGAGAAAATGTTATTTTGAACAGCATTTGGCCTCTTCTAGTCCTGGAGCTAGAGTTGCTTCTTCCACTTTCACGCAATAGTTAATAGCAGTTAATTAGTACAGGTTAAAAAAATGGGTGTTTGAATCAGAGACGCATGGGTTTCAACCCAATATTGCCCTTTATTAACTATGTAACCTTGGGCATATCACACACCTCTCTGCACCTCAGCTTTCTCATCTTTCAACAAGGGAAATAAATAATATTGCCAGCTTCCTGAGTTTCAGGTGAGCCATAAATGGGTACTTGGCACATATACATCCCCACTAAATGCTAGCAGTTCTTTGCATCATGAGTATCTACTGAATCCTTCTTTGTTTCGCTTTCTCCTTCAGGCAGAATTCTCAGAGTTGAACCTAGCTGCCTATGTTACTGGGGGCTGCATGGTGGACATGCAGGTTGTGAGAAATGGAACCAAGGTTGTCAGGTAAGGAGACTGAGATACAGCAAACCTTCACCTGAGAAAGGTGTGAGTGGGATACCTCGCATAGCCAACCCCTCTGTCTAGTGTCCACAACCTAACTCCCGAACTACCTGGGCTTACACGTGTAGAATGTCTGCTTCCAGAGTTTGAGGTGGTGTTGCAATAGAAATGACCAGAGGCACAAATAATATGGGGCCATAACAAGATGTCCTGGCATGAGCTGTGGGCTTGAGAGAAAAGACTGCATTCCATTTCTGGGTTTTTGGCTCTGTTTGGGTGTGTCCCTCAGTCTCTTCTTGCCCCCTGATTCTCATCAACAGCACGATGACAGCAACACTGAAGTAGGAGGCACACATGTGAGAACATCTGATTAGTTCTGAAGTGCAGCACAAGTGTAAGCGTTTATTAAAGTGAACTGTATCCTGATTCCAGCAGTATGGCCAAGTGAGTGTTTGGAAAATCCCCTCCCAGGACATCAAAGCTAAAAGTGCTGGATTTGATATTTTCTAAGAAATCTGTTTATAATGTAGGCTGAGCTGGAGGGGAAGTAAGGGAATTATTGAGATCATCAGAAATGTCAAGAAAGTAGAAATCCACAGGAGACATTAATACATGTATTATATTGTATTTCTGTCTAGTTAAGTACCCAGAGGATGATATAAGCTAAGTCTTCTCACCTTCTCACCTGGGGGTTTAGATGGAGAAGAAATAGGCTTCCAATTTGGAGAAGCAGAGGAAATAGGAAGAACTTGGAGGAGGAGGTCGCATTTATTCTGAGCTTTGTCAAATGGTGGAATATGGGCATTCTAAGAGTAGGAAGCAGTCTTTGTAAATGCAGACAGGCAAAAAAATTATATGTCTGGGGTATTATGATATTTAATTAATCCAGCCATCATTTACTGAGTGCCAGCTTTGTGCTAAGGAAGACATGACCCAACTTCCTGTCTCCAACAGTGGTGGACTCGGTTGTTTGGACTAGCTCTTCTACTGAAAACAACTTAAGAACTAGTTTTAAATAATAATCATCTTTAAAGCCTTCAAAGGGTTGGCACCACAAAGAATTACCAGAAAGAAAATGATGGGGAAATGGAACCCCCAAAAGATAAATGAATATAGAAGCTACCTTTTTCTGAGAGTATTTGCTAAGTCTAGCAAATTTTAACATTGGTTTTGATAGACTATCAGGGAAAGCGAGACAGAAATCAACACCCAGGGCCACTCAAGGTGAGAATGTAATGGTAGACCCTCCCCACAATGAGCTGAGACCCAAGGGACTGCACCTTCAAAGGGAATGTGAATTCCAAGTAAATGAACCATCACAAATAATTGCAGCTTGAATTGCAATTTCACTGGTTTTTCAGGGAACCTTGGGTATTATACTTGGTTTATGACGATCCCAGACATGCCAGAAATAAAAGCAATGTTGTATAGAGGAAGGCACTTTCATCCTGAGCTTCAAATAATTATTCAAGTGACTCTGTGGTATGATAGCTAGCACACAGTCAAAGATAACCAGACACAGACACCACGAATGAGAAGAAACAGGGACAATAGACAGCAGAAAGAAACCTCATATCTCGGATATTGGAACTATCAGGCACAGATTCTTAAATTTTTAAAAATCATCCATATTAAGTTGAAAAAAATCTGGTTTGAAGACTTCTGCAGCAAATAGGAAACTGCAAAAAGTGACACAACCAATTTAAAAAAAAAACAAATAGAACTTCTAGAAATGAAAACTACAGTAACCCAAATTATTGGGTGTATTGTGTTTAACAACATATTAAATATCATAAAGTGAAAGGTAGAGCTGAAGAAATTACCCCCAAGTAAAACACAGAGAGAAAAAGGTTGGAAATCTAGACAAGGTGGTTAGATCACATGAGAAGGTCTAACATGGACTTAATCAGGGCCTCAGAGAGTGAAAGGAGAATGGGACAGAGGCAGTATTTTAAGAAATGATGGCTTAACATCTTTCAGAAAGATACCAAAGCATCCAAAACAGAAGCTCAAAAGATTTAAAGGAGAATACATTTTAAAAAACTACAAAGACACAATAGTGTAAGTACAGAAACATGAAGAAAAATAAAAAGTAGCCAGATTTAAAAAGGCGGATGGCTTTGATTGGACTAACAGACTGACAGCTCCCAGGCCGCAGGGGTGGAATGACATCTTTATGGGCCAGAAGGAAACACTTGCCAACCTATAGTTCCATCCTCAGGGTCACATCTTTTATGAATGAAGGCAAAATAAAAGCATTAACAAAGAGAAGACCTTCAGCAGGGGAGACTGTAAAATATATGCTTTGGGTAAAAAGAAAACCATCCCAGAATAACTTAAAGCTGCAAGAAGAATAAAGAGCAAAGACTGTGGGAAATGTTAGTAAGTTGTCTCCACAATAATAAAATTAACAGTGTCTTCTGAAGGATTAAAATATATGAGGGATTAAAATGTAAAGCAGTAAGTTAGTAGAGCCTGAGGTAAATTAAGGTGTTCCGAGGCCCTTATATTGCCAGGGAGAAAAGGCAGTGTATTGATTAAAAATAGGTTTTGTCCCTGGCTGCGTGGTTCAGTTGGTTGGAGCATCATCCTATACGCCAGAAAGTCACAGGTTCGATCCCCAGTCAGGACACATTGTGGGTTCAAGCTCTGGTTGGAGTGAGTACAAGAAGCAGCTGATTGATATTTCTCTCACATCAATGTTTCTCCTTCTCTGTCTCTGTCTCTCAAAGTCAGTAAACATATCCCCAGGTGAGGATTAAAAGAAAACAGGCTTTGAAATGTCAAAATAAATCATGTAATTTCTAGGTAATTATTGGAAAAAAAGAAAAACAATAGAGTACTTAATAGATATGAGAGAGAAAAATAAATAATAAAAGAAGTCAAGAAAGGAGAGAAATACAACCTAGAATAAGTGTTACAAATAAGATGATGGACTTAAACCCAGATATGAGGGAGACCCCCCCAAAACGGAATTTAAGTATAAAAATGTGTATTATTGTTACATGTTTAAACTTCAATCACCTTCAAAGTGCTCTCCATTTGATGCAATATACCTATCGAGATGTTTTTTCCCCCTGCTCAGAGCAGTTTGTAAACTTATCGATTTTCATGCCTTTTAGTGTTGCTGCCATTTTTTGTTTTATCTCTTGCATATTGGCAAACATTTCCCTTTGAGGACTTTTTTCGTCAGGGGAAATAAACAAACAAAAAAGTCTCATAGGGCAAGATTGGGTGAATGAAGAGGTGGGGTATGAGGTCATTGCCTTTTTTTAGTCAAAAACTGTTAAACAGCGCAGTGTGGACAGGGCACTCAGAAATCACCCATCATGAAATGGGCAACACGTTGAAAGAGTCTCAGAAAAAAAAAACAAACTGAAGCTGAATGCAACCTCTCACAACAACGCCAGCTGGTTCACTGATACAGATGGGTTCCTAGAACACTCACCTATTGCAGGAAGCCTGTACTACAAGGGGCCTGCCTTCCAGAAGATAACTCCATTTTTTAGGGTCCTCCCTTGTATATCAGCAAGCCCATGTTATTGTGAGTGGCTTGTAAAGCAAGCAGCACTAGTTATTAAAATATTGAAACTTTTCTATACAAGTTGACAAAGGATGCCCAAAGTTGTCCGGGAGACACACGCTTGGAAGCAGTGGTGGAATCCCAGAGAGCAGGTGCTAGGTTCCCTCTGTCCCTTCATGGCTGCAAATGCCTACAAGTCCCCAATAGCTGCCCTCTCATGGTCACTTGTGAGAATTGCAACCTCCACAAAGTACCCTGTGAATTGTTAGATATTTATTATACCACCAATATAGATCAGTAATTACATTAAATGTAAATGGACTAAATACTCAAATTTAAAGAGCACCTGCAGCAAGATTGTCAGAGTAGGTTTTTTAAAATCCTACTATACTTCATTCTAGAGTTCATCTAAAACATAAGGAATTTTGAAAGTTAAAGGTTTAAAAAATAGATATACCATGTAATTAACTATTGAGCAAAAGAAAGCTAGCCAGCATAGCTGTATTCATATCAGGAGAAAAAAATAGACTCCCAGATGAAATGCATTACTAGGGAAAGGAAATAAATCCAGTATGATAAAGGATTCATTTACCCAGAAGAGATCATTTTAAATTTATACACACCAGATAAAAATGCCTCAAAATGTACTTCAAAAATTGGCAAAACTACAATGAGAAATGAACAGCCCACCATCATGGGGGATTTTGAGAATGGTGCTGCACACGTATATTTGTTTACTTCTCACAGCAGCCTCATTTTGCACATTAGAACTGTAAAAAACCTAAACAGCAAAATTTAGGAATCTGTGTATGTGCATATTTAGGATTATTTGTACTTATGTCCTGCCTCCCCGTCTGGGAAAGGGGCTGAATTGCCCTCGTTTGGAACGTGTAGAAACCAGACAGCTATCCCATCAGTCCTAGCATTTGGCTGCAGGTTAGAATCACGTGGGAAATGTTTGCAACCTTCTCGCCCAGGCCCTGTGCCCAACCAATGACACCAGAATCCCTGAGGGTGGGGTTTGGGCATCAGTCGTGTTAATGCACCCCAGGTGGCTCCAAGGGGCAGCCTGATGGAAGACGTCCGCAGACTGCCCTCACCGTGGCCCCGCACTGGGGCTGGGTCAGCTGTAGAGCTGAGGATCCTGCTGGGTGTGCTGCCTGAACCAGTAACACCCTGCAAAAGACACCTCCAAGCCTCATGGTGGACATGCCACCTTCTTTCTGAATTTATAAACTTGTTTACAAAAATTAATTTACTAAAATGTTCCAAATGTTTTCTGATCAGCTAGTCTCTCAGCACTTAGGGATGGTAGTCTTCAAAGACAGCTGTTACAGGTTGAATTATGTCCCCCTCCCCAACCCCCAAAAGATGTATTCAAGTCCTAAGTCCTGGAACCTCAAAATGTGATCTCATAGGCCAATGGAATTAAGATACAGTCATACTGGAGCAGAGTGGGCCCTTAATCCAACATAATTAGTGTCCTTAAGAGCAAAGAGAAGTTTCAGGCAGAGACATGGGGAAAATACCACGTGATGATGAAGACAGAGATCAGAGTGCCACATGCACAAGCCAAGGAACACCAAGGATTACCATCGGTCACCAGAAGCTAGGAGATGGACGTGAAACAAAGTGTCCCTCAGCTCTCAGAAGAAACCAATCCTCCAGACACCCTGACTTCAGACTTTGGGCCTCTAGAGCTGTGGGAGAATACATTTCTGTTGCTTTAAGCCACCCAGTGTGTGGTACTTGGTAATGGCAGTTCTAGGAAACGAAGACAACAGTGCTTCTCACGTGCAAACGGCCCTTTCAGAGATCCTGTTGAAATGCAGATTCTCATCCACTAGGTCTTTAAGCAGGACCTGAGACTCAGAATTTCCTACGAGCTCCCAGATGAAGCCAATGCTGCCGGTCCTGCAGACTTCCATTTGAGCAGCAAGGGTGTGCACGAGCTCCCACATGTTGCTGCTGCTGCTGCTGCTGGAAGGCCAGCCATGGGGAGTCCGGGCTGTGAGGGCAGTGGGAGCACAGCCAAAGCCCCGGGTTCAGGGGTCCATGGGGCTGGTGACATTTATTCTCTCCAGGCCCAGGATGGTGCTTGCAGTGTCAGCCAGGCATCGTACTTTGGCACATCACAAGTTACAGACCTGTGAGAACAGGCACACAAACTAGGAACCCCTGTCTGGCTCACTGTGTGTCCTGTAGGTGGGGAATCGTTAGAATCTTCCTTAGGCATATGGTGCTATTCCAAGGCCTAGCTGTGTTCTCCCAAAGTAAGAATTTTGAACAGTGCTCTTGACTTGCAGTATATTCTTTCATGAAAGCCTTAAACACTTCCAGGTGTGCAACATGAGCAAGACCTAAATCTTCCAAAGTCTTGCTCATGAGGAGCACCTTCAGAGGAGGTGACCAGGATCCATGGTACAGCACACCGCTGCTGGTTTTCTCCAGCATCGGTTCCTTCTGCTTTGGGGAATAGCACCTACGTGTTTCACCGGGGTGCCCCTTCTCCAGCTTGCAGTCTGTGTGGTGTCTGGAGCTGATGGCACAGAAGCAACCCTAGAATCGGAATATGGCACTGGGACCCAAGCCAGGCCAACGAGAATCCATCGTGGGACTTTTGCCGGAACTCTCGAGTGAGACACACATGTGTTCTGCTGGGGCTGCTGAGCTGGCAGGTGGATGCCTGGAACTGCGGATGGCCATCTCTTGTTTCTCCTTGAGGGAATGATCTGCTGAGATCGAAGCCAAGGCAAAGGAAAATACAGCTGACAGAGCAGGGGAGAAGGTCAGTGACCCGATGATATTATTCAAGGCCCTGGATCCAGAGTCATCTCCAAATCTGAGTTCCTTCATACCCTGCACCTCCCCCAAATTTATTTTTGATTAAGCCAGCTGGAATTGCACATACAGAGTTCATTTATTTTTATTTATTTAACAAACGCTTTATAGCATTTCCTACGTGCTAGGCACTATTCCAAGCACTTAGCATGTATTGCCTCATTTCATCCTTTCAACAACCCTATAAGGTATGTACTATTATAATCTGCATTTTCTAGATAAGGAAGCTGGAGCACCAATAAATTGGGTCATGGAATCAAGGTCTCCAGCCAGTAAGTGGCAAAGCTGGAGTTCACGCCTAGGAAGTCTGACCCCAGAGCCAGTGTGTGGCACCATTGCCCTGGATACCTCTTTAAGAAGGGGGGCTGTTTCATGGTCAGAGCTGCTTAAAGAGGCACCAGTTCCTCATTATGAGTGGTATGCAAAAGTATGACAACCATTTGGTACAAAAGTATTACAGAGGTCCAAGCTTCTGACTTTTAGAAAGGAAAGAACACTAATTAGTAACATGAATACATATGAACGTATAAAATTAATTGATAATGGAAGTATTTGGTCAGATCGAGACTACTCTAATAGTGTAATAGTGGTATGTAAATCACTTTAAACTCTAGTGTGAAGGTTAAAAGACAAAAGTATTAAAAGTAACTAACTACAGTAATGTTGAAATTAATACACCATATAAAAATATGTAAACTGTGATATGAAAACATTGTAGGGAGGGGGAAGCAAAACAGTAAAGTTTTTGTATGTGGTCAGATTTTTTTTATCAGCTTGAATAGGCTGTTATAACTATAGGATGTTTTATGTAAGACTCATTGTAATCATAAAGCAAAAATTCATAATAGATGCACAAAACTGAAAAAGATTCAAAGCGTATCACTACAGAAAATCATCAGATCTCAAAGGAACACAGCAAGAGAGGAATAAAGGAAAAAGGAACTGTGTACCAGCTAGAAAACCATGAACCAGGTGGCAATAGTAAGTCCTCACCTATTGATAACACTTTAAATGTAAATGGATCATTTGTGCCCATCAGAAGAGACTGTGTAGCTGAAGGAATTTCAAAAAGGATCCAACAGTATTCTGCCTACAGGACACCCACTTTAGGTTTAAAGACACACACAGGCTGAAAGTGGAGGTGGAAGGAGGTATTCCATGCACATATAAGCCAAACGAGAGCAGGGGTGGCTGTACTTAGACCAGAGAAAATAGACCTCGAGTCAAAAACTGTAACAAGAGACCATGAAGGACAATCTATAATGATAAAGGTGTCAATTCATCAATAGGATATGACAATTATAAATATATATGCACCAAACTTCAGACTACCTAAATATATAAAGCAAATATTAACAAATCTGGAAGAAGTAGACAGCAACACAATAGATAGATCATACAGATAGAATATCAGTAAGAAAACTTTGGTCTTGAACTACACTTTGTACAAGTGGACCTAACAGACAAAAGCGGAACATTCCTTCCACCCAACGGGCACAGAATACACATTTGCAAGTGCACACAGAACACTCCCCATATGTTAGGGCACAAAGCAAATCTCAGTAAGTTTAAGGTTGAAATCATATCCAGTATCTTTTCAAACCACAGTTGCATGAAACTAGCAATAACAGGAGGAAAACTAAACTAAATGGTTAACTAGGTGAGGAGATGGATATGCTAATTAACTTGATTGTGGTAATCATTTCATAATGTTATACACATATCAAAACATGTTGTACACCTTAAATACATAACAAAATATGCTGTATATCCTGAATATATACAATTTTTATTTGTCAATTATAAAAATCAGTAAACTGGGGTGGGGTGGGGGAAGAAAATGATAGCACCAGTATTTGAACCCAGGTCTCTGACTAGATGCCAAGTGAATGTCCAAGTGTCTTTAAATCCTGAGATTTTGCTATTCTCTTCCTTGAATTGCCCCTCCCTGTCCAATCTGTGGCATCTGGTTTTATTGAGCCTGCCCCAGGCTGGCATGAGTGGACTCTGAGATTTTACAGAAAGGAGCAGGACTTAGAGATTTCTCCAGGGTGCTGAGTGTGACTCAGGTTCATCCAGGGTTTAGGGTGTCAACATTGCTCTGTCTCAGAAATCTGCTGCTCCGACCTGAGACTCTACCTCTCTGAACCTCCGTTTCTTTATCTATAAAAGGCAATAGTAGTAGTATTGGGTTGGCCAAAGAGTTCATTTTGTTTTTTCTGTAAGGTGTCTCTGTTAGTGCTTAGCTGTCTCTAACTGCATTCAAAACAGTTTTGTTAGATTATATTGTGACAACTGTCACAGTGGGCAT